CGAAGGTCAAAAGTGGGCGGGAAGCATTTTTCTATTATTTAGGTTTGCCGGGCATCGCACTATTAAGTCATCAGTATTAATTTTGTGTGTTCGGACTTAATTTGTGGTTCACAAGCCAAAAATCGCAAAAAACCGCACCCATTTTTTTGATGTCTGGAAAGCGCAAGCTATAGGAATCCCCTGAAAATAACGCTATAATATAAAAAATTGCAAAGAAAATCCTTTTTACGAACTTTGTGCTCGTTGATCGCATACTGTACCAAGGCTAGTCAATATCCCGAGTTTTTTCTTTATCCCAAATCCGGCCCAGGCGCGGATTAAGGAAAAAGTTTTAGTGTGTTCGTTTCAGTTGCACCTTCATGCTGTTTACGAACGCTTAGTGTTCACTGAACCCAGGGGAACTCTTTGGATACAACCGTCAATGCAGGGTGCACTCTTCGGGGTTTTTTTTTACTTTTTTCCAAATTGTGGAAACATCATAAAATCATTTTTTGGCACAAGGTTTATTGTAGACAAATGCATATTGATGCCAAATACGGTACGGTTTTATTGACAACCATAAAAGTTACAGCAATTTTTAAATTTTTTATAATTTTTTCGAACGTTGTATGTGTATACATATACACATCTATGTATATATATCTATATGCCTTTTATCACAGACATATATATTGCATTTTTTATGGTTCCTCAGTAAACAGAGCGGCCCCACGATTGCAATAATGCATGTTCATTTTTGTCAATTCGCACTTTGTTCTTTGGTTTGAAATTGCATTTGGGTTGCCCTTTTGGAGTTCCTATCGGAACATCGGATTTATATTGCAAAAATTTCACCGAATATATTCAACAAAGGCTTCCTGTCCTTTGTGCATAATTTGCTCATCTTTGATCCGCCAGGCCACATCTGACTCCAAAATCGCGTTAGGTATTCTTGTGTTTACTATTGGACACACTATAAAAACAACAGAAAAATGTTTGTCATAGAAGGGCTTTGTTTTATAAAGGCTTATTTTGGTCGAGAATTGACTTTTGACACCTCTGAAATTGTTTGTTATAGAGAGGTTTTGCTGTACGGAACTTCGCTATATCGAATGTAAATCTATTCCAGAAAATTTTAGTTTACTACGACGACCTTTCAATGTCCATTTGCCTCACGTCAAACACTCTTCCTGTTAGTAAAACGTGATCTGAATTTGGCACCCTGTTTTTAACCAGAGACGCTTTTTTTCAGCGCGCCCTTGTCTCACTGCATTTGTCATTTTTTCTCCCCATTTCTTATTGAGTTTGATAGAAAACAAATCTATTTTGCGGAAAATTTGGTGCAAACCGGCTTAGAAGCCATAATTTATCCGCGTCTGGAAGTGCGTCGGAGTCGGCCATGCAAAATAGCCTAATCTTTCAAGAGAAACCGTCGATGATTTACCGTAGTGTTAATCGCAAAGACCAGAGATGTTTGAGCAAAAAAGTTATTTTGAGGGAAGGAATACTTTTATTTGTCCAACTACAAAAATTTTAAATACTATAGGTATATGTAAACACCTCAAAACAAATTATAATTTAAATATTAATTAACTTTTTTTTCATTTTCGAACTTTAGTCATTCGAACTTTAGGTTATTCAAAGTTACGGTCATTCGAACATTAGGTAGTTCGAACTGGAGGTTGTTCGAACTTTAGTCATTCGAACTTTAGGCATTCGAACTTGCGGATTCGAACTTGCGGTGTGTCTCCATACAAAACGATGACGTTGACTCAGACTGTCGCTGACCCCAAAAGTCGCAGTACCTTTTTTGATCGCACAGTGCGGTCTGAATTTTCTGATTTTTTGTCGCACTGTGCAGCCCCAAGTGTCGACTGCACAGTGCATTTGAAACTTTTTATCGCACAGTGCACCCTCTAAAATGTGCAATCGGAAAATTTTATTGCACTGTGCGCTGGTTGACCAATTTTATTTTCTGCACCGTGCAGATCACAGAGTTCGCACGGTGCAAAATTTTGGTCGCGGAATGCACTGAATAATAATTTTTTTTGCACGCAATTAGTATTCACACCTAGGCAGCCACATATCTCTAGACACGTTGTACCCGAGATGCGAGATCATTACCATGCAAAGTCGCGACGACTACGGCAGTATGATGTTGGTAAAAAGATGCGCAGTGCAAGCGCTATTTTAAATTTTTTGAACCGTGCATTCCTTTTTGCAGCACCTTGCTGATTTCCCTCTTCCTGCACTGTGCTTCCATTCGCCCTTTTGCGCTGTGCAAATGTCAATTCCGCTTCCTTTGCAACATTTTTTCCTCGTTATAAAAGCCACTTAGTTGCGTCAAAAAATTTCCTCGAGGCGGTTACGCGTGCCACCCTCGTCCCCATCGTTAATATGCAGCGAAGTGCGCTGGAATTTGGCCATTTTCCCGGAGGGCATAAGTCGATTCATCAAGTCCGAATTATCCGAAAAAAAGAAACAATAAGAAAGACGGTAGGGGAAACGGAAATTCCGCGAAAATTTATAGAATTTATTTTGCTGTTTATAGAAAAACGTCCGCACGGCATGAATACTTTGAAACGCTCGGATGCCGGCTAAATTGAATATTCATCGTGCGTCCCTTTCGAGGCCTTTTTAAGTGCAATTTGGAACGCACTTCGTTTCAATAAATTAAAAAAGTCAGCGTTTCTTTATGACTGCGCGCAAAAAAGGATTGTTTTCGTGTCGGGACAAAAAAGAGAATTTCTTCTGTGGAAAAGAATGATTTTTGCAAAAAACGGGTTTTTATTTTTCAGTCAAAAATGCTAATTTCGGCTATTAGCTCGTTCGCAAAGTCGATGAAATGATTTTTGCGACATGCACTGTGCAAAAATAAAATTTCATTTTGCACTGTGCAATTTCTTGCTTTTTGCACTGTGCAATAGGCTTGTTTGGGGTGTCGCTCGCGGCTTTTTTTCTGCACAGTTCAAACGCCAAAAATTACTGCAGCCACCTTACAAAAGGACTATCACTCTGCCGGAAAAATAATGAGCAAAATATCGCTGCGCCAATCGTATCGCCGAGTGAAAAGCAATTTGATTTTTCCGCGACACAATTCATTTTCTCGGCGGCGATGCGATTTTCGCTGCGACAGAGTGCTCATTATTTTCCCGACAAACTGAGAGCAGTGATGACGCAAAAACCCGAACCTAAGTGAGTACGGGTTGTTTTGCGACCGCGAAGTCGTGTTTTTTTGCGCGCTGAAGAACACTGTTTTCGGTTTTTGGAACATGAGCCATTCCCGGGAAGCGCGGGACGCAGAACGTGTCATGCTTTTGGGAATTTGAGGAAGCCAATGACAGTTATCTAAGCCCGTAATTTTGTTTGTTCAGTTGACCGAAGAGCAGGGTCAAGTACTTGATGGAATTTTTGAAAAGGTTAGCAAGTGCTTGATGAATTTTTGAAAAAAGTTAGCTGTCAAGTTGCTGCATAAAGTACTCTTTTTTCAAAAATTCAAAATTTGTTTTTGTTATTGAAGGATATGTTTTTAGTGTTGTTTTTTTGCAGAGGCGGTTGCTGACAAATTGTGACGTTGCTGTTTTGGTAAAAAATCGACGCAAAGTTACAGTAAACTTTTTTAACGGCATATTCCAGAATTTTAGCTCTCGCTCTTCAGAAATTGTCGAGACGTTTAGGTCGAAAATTTCGAAAATTAGAGATTTTGCAATTTTATGATGTCTTGAACTGTAGTTCCGGAAATTTTCGCACGCACTGGCAGCTAATTTATTCAATCTTTCAAGCCTAGAGACTATGAAAACCAGGAAGGAAGTACCGGGCTGTAACTTATAGATTCTATAATCATCATCAATATTATCAAATGAATAAAAGCTTCAAAAATTTTGACAAAGAAAGCTTCTATCGACCACTGAAGGTTCACATCTTAGGACCCAAACAACCCGTCAAATTATTGTTATGTTTGTTTCTACAAGTCAAAAACATTTCCCAAACTTTTGGCCCTCTGTTTTCTGTTTTTTCCGGCCTAATCAACTGACGTTTCGAACTAAATACTCTTTGTCCCCTATATCCAAGCTTGTAACTCCTTGCTTTTAATCATAGTTTTAAAAACTGATTGAACGGTTGGCCAGGCCAGGTTTTTGTCATTTTTTGCACCAATTTACTTCGCCCTTTTATCTCACTTATTGAATAAATAATCATGCAAGAAATAAACATAATTTATTTTGACGCGGCTGGCTTCCCACAGTAATGATTTAGTAGTACATTCAAGTATAATTTCTCCCCCTCCGCGCTCCATTTTACAAGCATAATAATATGGGTTTTAATTGCGATTAGTTTAAGGTTTCATTAATCCGCTGGCTTTGTTTTCGCTGCTTAATCCCATCCGCTTTGGCGGAGAAGCCCAGGAATGCGAAGTTTCCTTTCTCGGTATCGGAACCTACAGGATTTCCTGTATATCTTGGATTCAGCTTCCTTATTCACACCGTCTTTTGATTGCGAGTGTGGAGTTTTTTGTAACGGTTTTCAGGAATCACCGTCTTAATTCGTTGTTTGTGTTAGCCATGACTCTCAGACTTTCCTACGGTTTGATAAAACTTTACAGGGGAAGGTACCAAAATTCGAAGCTTATTATCCAATTTTAGACTTTTTTTTCTAAAATATAAGTTAAAATATTGAGGAATTTATGTGTTTTCATGCGTGCAACATCTCAAGAAAATCTGATCGTCGACCTAGCGGGAGTGCGCAAAATGTAATTTCCAACGTCAACGCGCATTTATTGAGCCTTATTAAAGCTGAATAGTGTAAAAAAGTGTAACTAAAACACATTGTGCCCTTAAATCGAATAAAAGCGCGTTTTTTACTGTATTTTCTTTTTTTGTCATCGTTTTCAATTCGATTTCACTCCGCATTTTTCTTCGTATTCTGGTATTTACAAAAAACATTACAGACCTAGTTCACTCCCTAAGCCTGTGGCCAATTCACGTACTCCATGTCTCACTCGCATCAGTGTTTATTGTTATGATATGAACGAACTTTTGTTGAATTCGACAGTCGATTACGAGTATGAAGTGAATCAAGAGCCTCCCTACAGCAATGTGCTGGTCTTCGGGATGGCTTTCGGGTACATTTTATATGCAGTTGCCATTTTGTTTGGTATTCCGTGCAATGTGTTTGTGCTCTACCGAATGACCAAATTGGCGATGAAGTCACAAGAAGTTTACACGTGAGTTTTTTGATGACATTTTTATCAAAAAGAAAAATTTTTGGTCAAAATGCCATTTTTAACCATAACTTTTTCGCTTTCAGAAACGGAACGGGTATTTGCCTCCTTGCCATGTCCATTGCCGACCTCGTATCTCTATGTTCAATATGCGTGCATTATGTCCTCAGCTTTGATATAAATATTGGTCCGTTCCCGCGAACCGTTGTATGTAAAATCGCCATATTCAGTACACATGTCAGCACCTCTATCAGCATATGGAGTTGGCTGTTAATGTCAACGCTACGCTATCTCTCAGTCTACCATCCATTATTTCACTACCGATTATGGAGATTGCCGGTTAGAGTGTTGTTGGTAATACTCTGCGGCGCAAGTCTTACCAACTTCGCGTTGTTGTTCATGGTGGTATATAAGCCTGAGGTAAAATTGATTTTTGACATATCTCATGCCCGAATTTTATACCCATGACCCTTACGGAAAATTCCTTTTAGGAAGGATGCACGTTATCAGCCCTTTTTCCATCCATGCCTAATTTGAACCGAGTCTTTCTCTGCCTCGAGATAATCTGGTCGTTTTGCATACCAACAGCAATTATCTTGTTCGTTGACTCGTCGGTTTACATGTGTCGACGCCGCTACGCGGTATTGTCGCAATATGCACAGCGAAGTTCGCATGGACTGAAAAAAGTAAATTTTTTGAACTTTGTTAAATTACACTCCGAAGAAACCCAAATTGCCATTTCTTTCAGCCGAAGAGCTCAATGTGGCGTTGGCTCATAATTGCACTAATTGATGTGGTCCTGAATACCCCAGAGAACATATTTCGATTATCGGTCATTTTGGGGCTGGTAGATCAGGCATCGATGGGCGAGATGTACATGTTGGGAAGGACGTTTTCACAGGTGAGAATCAAACAACATAAACATCATAAATATACACTACAAAAACCCAAATAAACAAAACACATATTCTTTTAGGTACTATATTACTTCCAATTCGGCTTTAACGGTGTATACTTGGCCTTATTTATCTACGACAAATCGACAAAGGTTATTTCGAGTGCACGTGGTTCTGACAAGACCGGCAAAAACGCCGGCTCAACGCGGAAATGCGTCGTATCCTTTGACAATGCAATTACAAAGCATTAAAAATATCATTTTGTTTTTACCTTGTATTTATTTGTTTTGCCAAAAATGTGTAGTAATAAATGCGATAATGCTTTTCTCTTTATAGTTTTGTTTTGAATTCCAGAGGCAATGAAGCTGCAATAAATTTCAAAATCACAATGGCAGTCGGAAAAGGTTAATTTGAAAACAGACCAATTACAGCCATCAGCGCAGAAAAATTTTCCGAGGCTCCTACGAAGAATACGACAAACGCTAATAATGTTTGGCATTCTGCTATAATAAAAACATATTCTGCTTATATTTTTTCTGCAGAAAAATGCCTGTATTGGCGTTGTTTTCAATGAAAGCAAGCACTTGTTCACTTTCATCAACTCAACCCTCCTGATATGTTGCCAATGAATTTGGAAAAAATGAGATCATGCGGAATCAGAGGAAGATTAAATCCGGAAGGATTTTCAAGGTTTGGTAAGACATGCGACTATATTTCGAAGATTTTTGCCTCTACTTTTCCGCTAATCCTTCGTTTTCAGTTAATTTTTCAATGCAAAATCTGCAGTGGGGGATGGACCAAGCTTCTGTTGCCACCGTCCGTCGACTACTTGTAAGTTCAACATTACCCTCTTGCATGTTTTGTTTTTAGTTCGTCTCAAAGAGGTTCTTCATAGCCGTGCTGAGGCAATTATCTTCAACAAGTGTGCTGGATTATAGAAACGATACCCCCTTGTTTCGTTTATCGGACAGCCTGGCAATTCCAATTCCTACGCTGGCGTCTATCCAATACCCCCATTTGATCAAGAGTTCGAAATATGTTATCACCAATGATATCTCACCAGCTTTCTTGGAAATCATTAGAAAAGCAGAAAGTAAGTGCTTAAACGACTATTCTAACTATCTTGTTTCCGCATAATCAACCAACTGTTTTTAGAAATAACAGATCTCACAATTGAAAACATATTGGAGCCAAACTCTTCCGCTTCAGACGCTATTGTAAAACTCCTAACTCACTATAGGAAAACATTAAAAAGGCTTTCAGTCCCATGGAATTTTGGAACAAGAGTGCGATGGATTGGGCTTGAGCTAGAAGAAGTTATAATAACCGCTAACGGTAGGAAATTTAATAAAGCTTTCTAAATCATAACCGTACAGCAAAAAATTATAGATGATTTCTATTGTAATTTCGGTATTTTTAGGGTGCGAAGCAGGACTATCGCCCCTGAATATTCTTCATGTAAAAGCACACAGAATCCGACTCGAAGGAACTAATATTTTCGATTGCATCAAACCTGCTTTAATGGTTTTGTACGACCAGCCAGATCTGCCGGACATCTATGAATTAGGAATCTGTATGGACAAAATCTGGGGTGATTTCGAGTACAACTTTTTCTACATTTTAATGGTTCGAATAACTTCAATCCAAAAAGTTAACATAATCATTCGCGAGCCTCAGCTCACAGCGCAGGAGCTAAGAAACACGCACCAGTTTCAGGTCTTCCAAGACGTTCTCGCTTCGCAAAGACACGGGTTAGAAGTTGATGTTGTAAAGGAGTTGTAAATAGTAAAATAAATGTAATAAATATACGAATTTTATCACTATATTTGGATTGGAAAAAACTGATTTTTGCCTATGGCGCGAAAATCTCTTTCAAAGTTTTCCCAGAGTTTTTCGAACGAAATCACTTTACATTCGTCGCAACTGCCGACTGGTTGGGTTATTCTTCCCATTTGGACTCTAAATACCGGAAATTCAGCTTTGAAACAGCAACATTGGTAAGAAAATACATGGGATTTTTAAATTAAAATTCGCGCCTATGTTAGTATTTACTTATACACATAAAAACGGCTTCGACCGACCCGAAAGTCATCGATTTCATTTTGAAAATTTAGCCGAAAACGTTGTGGATAATATAATTTTTGCCTGCCGTAAGATGGTATAAATTTGCGAAGACGTTGTGGCATAATCAAAAAATCGGTTTTTGTGACAAGATTTACGCGATTTCAAGGTTCGTGACGAGTTTCGCGCGCAAAAAGTAACCAAGAGGAACAGTTGTCACTTTGTGTCAACTCTATCTATCGGCATTTTTTCATCGCGTTGACACAAAATTGTGCAATTTTTCGATCTTTTGTAATTTTCAGAATGAACTCTTCATTGGATCCGATGGTAAATTCCAAATGTAAGGTGGAAAAGCGACCTTTACCCGTATCCACTCCATCATCTCAAGAGCCACCTCGCCGGCGCTCTCGGGACCATGGCGAAGTCGTGGAAAACGGAATATTTATCAACTTGAATAGCCCAATCATCAGTCAACCTCCACCTGTCTTTATCAGCCAGGAAATGTTGCAAGAAACCGGTTGGAAGCAAGAGGAGGGTAAGTTGGATATTATTTTAGGTGCACTAGATGGATTTCGGTTTTTTGAAGTGAAATTGGGGTTTGTTTTTGTTGGATTTGCAGTTGATAGAAAGCTTAGGAGTTCATCTTGCTGATGAGGCAATTTTCTGCTTCAATTGTGTTCATTTACCCCATAGAAATATATGATTTTAGATAACTGATACCTATTTTTTCTAATGTTTGAATTATTGCGAAAACATCTGTTTTTTCAGAAACGTACTACCCTAACAATCCAGGCGTCTACAAGACTTCACCACCAGGATTCTCCAGCTTGGATCCCCCTCGCATTTCGCAGGATCTTAATTTTAATGATTTTCCATTAGAAATGTACCAGGCACAATACATAAGCCCAGAAGATCGTCCAGCCGACTTTAATATGAATGATTATCTTCGATTCAGTCAAGTTGGAAGTCAGGGAGAAGCACAAGAGATCTTGGGACCAAATAGTCAACCAGAAATGGAAAAGCCGAGTCAAGAAGAGAAAGGGGATTACAAAACGGACGAAAACTACGAAAAGGCCGAGAATTTCAGTGTTTTTGTGCTGAATGATGAGTCAAAGAGCTGCCATGATACTTATGTGAGCTTTTTATTTGGTTTTTATGCAAGTTTGGGGAGACTATTAAGGGATCTTTATGTTATCCATGGCCTTGCTCGGAGGTTCGCTGAAAATTTGATTTTTCATTAAGCCTGTGCAAATTTTCTTTATGGAAATGACTTTTATAGGAACTACGGTTCCTATTTGACTTAACGGGATACGTTTTACTATGAAACTCAGCCAGGTTTGCCTTTTTTTTAACTAGTTTCTTTATATGATGTCTAATGCAATATAATTTCAGTACGACCATGAGAATAGCATCTTGTACACTCGCAAGGACGTCACAGTCAAGTTCCAAGTCGGCGTTTACACTACTGCTTTCCTCTCCCACAAGGTCCGTCTCACCATCACAGCCGATCAATCCCAGCTCTTCAGTGGGAAGCCGTGTAAAGACCACATAGATCGAGTTCATTATGCCCGTCCCGGAACTGGCGGATTTATCAAAACGACGGATAAGAAAGTAGTGATCGAAATGCCATATCCGTTGGCGGATCAACCGCATTTGGAGGTGACTTTCAGCTGCCACAACAGTTGTTTCAAGACCACCAAAAAGTTCTTTGACATGCTGTTCGAATTGCACGATAATACGTAAGTTTTAGGGATGAAAATGAGGCGAAGAGCATAAGAGTTTATAATATAGCGGAGCTTGTCTTCAGCAATGCGTAGGATTTGTTTTGGAGACAATTTTTGATGTTATACTAGTCCTTCCGGAAAGTCGCCGGACTGAAATCGGCGACATGCACTCCGCGAAAACGAAATTTCACTTTGCACTGTGCAATTTTTGGCTTTTTGCACTGTGCAATAGGCTTTTTCGAGCTGTCGCTTGCACCCTGAGTTTTTTCTCACAGTGCATGTCGCTGATTTCCGTCCGGCGACTTTCCGGAAGGACTAGTACTTGACATCAGATATTTTTTTTTGTTCTTTTAGGTTGGCTATGAATTTTTATCCTTAGATTTATGTTTAATATGGATTTTTATGCTGTAAATAACATATTTCAGCGATCGAGTCTTTCAACAAGTCCGAATGCGGCTCAAAGTCTGTGCTGTTCCAAGCCGAGACGCCAAGCTGAATGGAAGAAACAATCCGGCCAAGGAAATTGAACTCAAAACTGCACTGGAGCAAATTTCTTCTGATCCTAAAGTGATATTTGCACCGGTAAGAAAGTTTTTTATTTTTTTTTCAAGATTTTTCGGAATTTTGATTAAAAATTTTTTTATTACTTTTAGTTCTTCGGCGTCGACATTTTCAAACGAGTCGTTCAGATGGTCAGTGACAGTGAGATCCGCGATCGTCACTTTAGTTCCAATCAAAATCAGCACCTCCTTCATAACAGTCAAATCGCGAAAGATACGGAGATCCGGGTTTGGCTCTCCAGGTTCCAGCAGGATCATTATACCAATGTGTTCATGGACAATGGAATCAGAACGATGAAGCAGTTGTGCTGGGAATTTCATAAGGATCAAAGGGTAAATTATTTTTATTTGAGTTGGTTGGGTCTGGAAAAAGGAAACTACTTGAAAAATTAAAAATCGTATTTTCTTGATGACTTCTGAGAGATTTTTTGGATGTTGATGGTGGATATAGGAGATGAGAGTCTTTTTGAGGCTAAATAGGGCTGTTTGAAGTATTTTGAGACGATTTTTTTTGGGACTTTATTGCGGTTGATATCAAATTTTTGATGTTGTACTTGGTTTTCTGATGTTTTTGGTACTTCAAAGCTTGGTGTATATCATGTTTCGGCTTTATATGAAATTTGAGGGTCTTACCGACGATAATAAGCAAGAATTTTACCATTGTTTAGCCTTTTTTTGTCCATCTGACATCAATTTTTTTATATTGTACTTGATGTTTTCGATATTTTTTTTGTATTGTAAAGCTTGATTTACGCTTTTTTTTGGGGCATATCAGAAATTTTAAGCTTGTTATACCATTTTCCAACTGCTTCCACATTCATTTTTGTTGTATTTCACCCTTAATTTACTTGTTCTAGGTGTTCACCAAACTCAAGATCCCCGCACATTGCGCCATGGGCATGAGCAAGAGTTTCATCAACTGGCTCTACTCGACCCTTCAGGAAGACAAGGCCTTCCTCGACGAATACATTGCCCGTCTTGCCATCGCGCCCAAATAATATTGTACATTTTATAACCGGCCCCCTGTTATATATATTTCAATCCTTTTTATGTTCTTATGTTGGCTAAAATTGATGGTCGGTGCCATTGTCGATCATACTGTATTTTAGAAGTTTCGCAATTTATAAACAATTGTGCTGAGTTTTTGTGGGGTTTTTTTTGAAACTAATCGTTGCAAATCGATTGTATTTTTTGCGTTTTGTGACTTTTTTTGTGTTTGTTGAAGTTTTTTGGGATTTTTTGTGGTAACAGAATGCAAGCTAGACTACTGGAAGTATTTTAGTATTAGTTTTTCAATGAAATAACCGATAGATTTTAATAATTTTTTTATTACGGACAAAAAAAAGATTAGTGTAAAATAACATGGGTATTCCCGGATGTACGAGCCTCAGATTTTCTTGAAATTTAGCTTGCATAATTGATCTCGACCATAAATTAAGCCTTAAAATTTTAGCGTATAAAACGAATATTTATTGTATAGAATGGCATTCCCGTCAACATTGTCTAAAACGGGGGTTCCAAGCTAAATCAAGCTATAAAACTGTTCAATATCATCATGATACAGCCAATTATTTATGAAACGGTTTCAAAGTAAATAGTAACGCGACACAAACAAAACTCCCCATAAAATACACACAGCCAGCGGCATAAATATCCGGGCTCCAGACGTTTTTGTATGAAGGTTTGTTTGTGAAGTCCGTAATGTTCAAGTGGACTGAAAAAATTAAGAATTGAAAATTAATGTTATAGCCAAAAAAGTTTTGCGCTGAAAAATAAAAAATTCTTACGCATGTAGGCAGTTTGTCGGTTGGCCAGTGTAACACCCAACACACATAATGATGATCCAACTAGGAGAAGTATACCAGAAGCCGCCGTTTCCAAAATTTCGGAAAAGACATTATGAATCAAACCGCATAACGCGATCAAACAAAAGGCCGGGCCAAGTGCCAAAATCGTCAGAATCGCGTGTCCAACATCAGCATCGAAGCGGCCCTGAAAGTACAGTCAGGTGCCTGATCCAGTGGCAAAAAACGTCCCAGTTTGCATCCAGGAAGGAACCAAAATGTCGCAAAACACCTCCTTTCTCTAAGCTAAAAAACCCCGTTTTGAAGAGCGCGCCCTTTCCTTCACGAAGGTAGCGCTAGCTCCGAATGCATCCGACAATATTCGCAATCAAAAAACGCCGATTTTTGCGCTTCTCTCTTTCTTTTGGCCGATTGAGTACGGAAAGGTCCGCCGTGCGGAAAGGTCCGCTGGACGGAAAGGTCCGCTGTGCGGAATGGTCCGCTAAAAAAAGGAACAGGGGGGGGGGGAGGTTTTCGATGGCGCGGGTTTCAAAAATCGTATCCATTTTTTCTGAATTTTACAATTTTGCTTAGGCAGTAGTGTTAATTAGTAATTTTTTAAAAATTGTTTTGAATAATGGATTTAGGGGTTTTCGAGGGTGCTGATCTCAAAAATCGTATCCATTTTTTCTGAATTTTACAATTTTGCTTAGGCAGTAGTGTTAGTTAGTAATTTTTTAAAAAAATGTTTCGAGTTATGGATTTATTTAGGGGTTTTCGATCGCGCTTATGCGAGATAACAATGATTGGTCATAAAAGACGTAAGTTATATTCTACTTGGTGTTTTCATTTTTAGGTGTGACTGGTCTCGAATTTATCGATAAAGGAGCTGAAGTTCTGTCTCTCGAGCTGATGGATCGTTGAATAAGTGGAACTGTGCGGTTGGAAAGTCCGTTGGGCAGATTGTTCACGAATATTCAGAGCTGAGAAGTCTAAGTTGACATGAAAAGGATAAAGTCCGGCTGATAACTTCCAATAAAGGCCAGATCACACTAGTATCCGCTGAATTCGAGGAGGTTGTAAGTCAATGCTTTTTATTTTGTTCAGGCATCAAAAATTTGCTTTATATAGTAACTTATCTTATTTTAGGTATCATTTGACCAAGATCAAGGAATTACTGCGGCTGCTGTCTTTAATGGCTCGACATTGACCATCGAGATCAAAGTAAGTTTTTTTAAATGTTTTATCTTGCTTTAGGGAAGTTCTATCGATCGACAAATGGAGGTAGAGTTCACTAAATTCAAATCTATTGCGAAGGCCTGCTGCTTTCTTTTGGTAAGTGACGTGGCAATTCCTTTTATTTATTACGACATATAATTTATATTACACTTGCTACAAACCTATCAATTTCAGCTAAGGGTCAGTCATTCTTTGCAAGAGGGAGCCGCAAACTCTAAAGCCAGTCTGCCTTTTTACAGAGGCCTATCTGCAACCCGTTTATGACTTTGCAGTCAACGAACATCATCTGTATACAGCTGGAAAAGATCATTTTGTTAGAAAATATCGGCTACCAGCCTTGTGAAATATGAATTATTTTGTGCTAATTGTAACGGTGGTTTTAACTTTAGTAAATGCGGGTGTTTTCCATTTACTTATTTGATGTTGTAATTTAGATACAAGCTGCGTTGGGATGTAGCCTGACTACGTCGCTACGTGTGAAACTTTTTTCATCAAAATAATTTTTCTAAACGTTGGGAAGGCATTGAGCGGTCAATTAAGAACACCTTTTTTCCAAAATGTAGCATTTAAGAAAATCGGCGAAGTGTCATCGGAAAAACCCAAAGAAAGAAAAATCAATCATTGTTATCTCGCATAAGCGCCATCGAAAACCCCTAAATAAATCCATTATTCAAAACAATTTTTTAAAAATTACTAACTAACACTACTGCCTAAGCAAAATTGTAAAATTCAGAAAAAATGGATACGATTTTTGAGATCAGCACCCTCGAAAACCCCTAAATCCATTATTCAAAACAATTTTTAAAAAATTACTAATTAACACTCCTGCCTAAGCAAAATTGTAAAATTCAGAAAAAATGGATACGATTTTTGAGATCAGCACCCTCGAAAACCCCTAAATCCATTATTCAAAACAATTTTTAAAAAATTACTAATTAACACTCCTGCCTAAGCAAAATTGTAAAATTCAGAAAAAATGGATACGATTTTTGAAACCCGCGCCATCGAAAACCTCCCCCCCCTTTCCTTTTTTTAGCGGACCATTCCGCAGCGGACCATTCCGCACAGCGGACCTTTCCGTCCAGCGGACCTTTCCGCACAGCGGACCTTTCCGTCCTTCGTGCTTTTGGCCTTCTGTATTTGCGAAATTTTATTGTTTTTTTCACAGAAAATGAGAAATTGAGAAGAGAAAAAAGCGCGCGCTTTTTGATTGCGAATATTGTCGGATTCATTCGGAGCTGGCGCTCTCTTCATGAAAGAAAGTTGCGCTCTTCAAAACGGGGTTCTTTGGCTTAGATAAGGGAGGTGTTTTGCGGCACTTTGGTTCCTTCCTGGATGCAAAATGGTACGTTTTTTGCCACGGGATCAGGTCCGCGGCGGTAGCATTTCCATTTTTTGGATAGGGTTTGCACGCCAAGAAGACATGTGGAACTTACTCGAAACGCATCTTTGCATTTCTGTACATCCTCCGTATTGTTGTGATAGCAGATGGGGCCTCCTAATGGTCCGAATGCGATGTCATTGTTGAAATAACCCCAGTCCGCTTGAAGGATTCCACAGTTGCAGAGAAAGAAACTGACCAAAATCATAACGATGGACGCTCCTCGCAAAGCTTCCGCGATAATCTTCAACAGTTCCATGGGAAGCGGTAACCGGCCGGTCGGTGGGGAATTTTTAGAGGTTTGTGATTGGAAATGGGTTTTTTTGAAATGAAAATTTGCATACAGGGTGGGCCACTCGAAACTGACAAGTTGTTTCTTTGAATTTCTCCGCGGAGACTCCACCGATTTTTCCAAAACTTAGATTTTTCTGGAGCTGAGACCCGCCATTTTCAACCGACTTAATTTCAAGAAAATATATTTTGAATTGACCTTTCCATGCCTTCTCAAAGTTTTGAAAAATTATTTTCAGGCCGAAACCGCTAAAACTTGGAAAATTTTTGGAATGATTTTGAAAAATTGGTCATTTTTCCGACTTCTTGGGTGAAATTTTCTTTGTTTTACCTCAGATAGTTATCAAATATTGTTCCAAAAACAATTTTATTTAACGATCTGATTATTAATGTTTCTATCTGATTTATTATGCCCACCTCCTCTCGCATCACAAACTTGCAGTGCCTTTGAGAGTCATGAGCAGCTAAAATTACGTATCGTGGATACGTAATTTTAATTACGTATCTGAGCTTCAAGATGCCCCAGGCCTGACTCCATAACCATTGACGTCGAATTTTTCAATCTTTTTTTGAATTTTTTTTTTTTTTTTTTTTTTTTGAGCGTTCGTGCCCTAATGGTAATACAAACAACACTCTTGTGGCTTTCAATTTGCTTTAAACAAGTTTAAAGCGAGCACTAGCAACTTTTTACTCCACGATTTCCCCAAAAAAAACCAAAAATTTTCCAAGTCCGAGAAAGTCAATTGAAAATCATTCCAAAAATTTTCGAAGTTTTAGCGGTTTCGGCCTGAAAATAATTTTTCAAAACTTTGAAAAGGCATGGAAAGGTTAATTCAAAGTATGTTTTTTTGAAATTCGGTCGGTTGAAAATGGCGGGTCTCAGCTCCAGAAAAATCTAAATTTTAGAAAAATCGGCAGAGTCTCCGCGGAAAAAATCAAAGAAACAACTTGTCAGTTTCGAGTGGCCCACCCTGTATTTGGTTCAATTTCAAAAGAATTTGAGGACCAAGCAACAATTTTTTCCCCAGGGGACAAAAGGTCGCATACGTTGTCACTTGCAAGAATAATTTGTAATTTGAGGACAAAGTTTCCCCTGATAGAACATTTTCCTCTTTGACCACTCTCCGCCTCCCGTGCACTCACCCGCCGACAAAGATCGTTGAATCGGTTACCTCTCAAAGGCGGAAGCTAAAATTTTCAGGGCCTGATACTAGTCCGTTCGCAAAGTGGCTGGAGTGGTTTCGGCGACTTGGACTGTGCAAATTGCATCGAGGTGCGAGTGGCACCCGAAAAAAGACGATTGCACGGTGCAAAAAGCAAGAAATTGCCACTTCGCAAGCGGACTATTTAAAAATTTGCGACAAGTGCCATCAAAATCCGAGCGTATAAAACGAATATTTATTGTATAGAAACACATTCCCGTCAAATTTTTAAAGTGAATAAGGCCACGACACAAATAAAACTATACACCAAAAAAGAACAGCCGTACATATAAATAACCGGGCCCCAGACCTTGTTGTATGAAGGGTTGTTAGTGAAACCCGTAATGTTCAAGTGGACTGAAAAAATTAAGAATTGAAAATTAGTTATAGCCAAAAGTTTTGCGCTGAAAAATAAAAAATTCTTACGCATGTCGTCAACGTGTCGGTCGGCCATTATAAGACCGCACACACATAAATATGATCCAACTAGGAGAAGCATAGCCGAAGCCGCCGTTTCCCACATTTCGGAAAAGACATTATGAATCAAACCGCATAACGCGATAAAACCAAGGGCCGGGCCAAGTGCCAAATTCGTCAGAATCGCATGCCCAACATCAGCATTGAAGCGGCCCTGAAAGTATTATTTATGGCAATTTCGAAGAAACCTGGCAAAAATTTAAACAGAATTTTCTTTAAATATTGAGTGAGACTCATGCCATGGCGGACCTGATCCAATGGCAAAAAAACATACCATCTTGCATCCGGGAACTCTCAAAAATAAGCAAAATACCTCCTTCTCTAACTAAAAAACTCCCGTTTTGAAGAGCGCGCCCTTCCACTCACAAAAAGATTGGAGTTTTCCACTTCGAGATGGAGGTATTTTGCTACAATTTTGATACTTTCCGGATGCAAAATGGTACATTTTTTGCCACTGGATCAGGTCCGCGGCGGTAGCGTTTCCATTTTTTGGATAGGGTTTGCACGCCAAGAAGACATGTAGAACTTACTCGAAACGCATCTTTGCATTTCTGTACATCCTCCGTATTGTTGTGATAGCAGACGGGGCCTCCTAATGGGCCGAATGCGATGTCATTGTTGAAATAACCCCAGTCCGCTTGAAGAATTCCATAGTTGCAAAGGAAAAAACTGACCAAAATCATAACGATGGACGCTCCTCGCAAAGCTTCCGCGATAATCTTCAACAGTTCCATGGGAAGCGGTAACCGGCCGGTCGGTGGGGAATTTTTAGAGGTTTGTGATTGGAAATGGGGTTTTTTGAAATCAAAATTTGCATATTTGGTTCGATTTCAAAAAAAGAATTTGAGGACCAATCAAAAATTTTTTCCCAAGAGGACAAAAGAGTCGCATACGTTGTCACTTGAAACAATAATTTGTAATTTGAGGACAAAGTTTCCCCTGATAGAGGCAGAAAACGTTTTCCTCTTTGGCCACTCTCAGCCTCCCGTGCACTGACCCGCCGACAAGAATCGTTGAATCGGTTACCTCTCAAAAGCCGAAACTAAAATTTTCAGGGATTCTTGTCGGCGGGTCAGTGCACGGGAGGCGGAGAGTGGCCAAAGAGGAAAATGTTTTCTGCCTCTATCAGGGGAAACTTTGTCCTCAAGTTACAAATTATTCTTGCAAGTGACAACGTATGCGACGTTTTGTCCTCTTCACAGCGCATGTCAAACTGAGGAGTCCGGTGACCGGAATAGACTCTTCGCTATCGGTTTTTTACATTTCGTCTTGATTTCCAGAGAAAGAGAGAAAAAAGGCGCGCAAAAACGTACTCTCTCGCCCCAAAAATTCCCCATTTCTCCCCCGACAAAACGTTTTTTCGCGTCTTTTTTTCGCAAATTGCCAATCCGTTCACCGGACTGTTTTAGCTTATCTCAGTTTGACGTGCAGCGTTCCGAACATTTTTTCCGCCGCCGATCGGTGTCGAAAAAAGGAAAAAATGAAAAGTAGTGCTTACAAGTCGGTGTATATTTGGCTAGCCACAATAGATGTAACTAAACTAAAAAGTGGTTATTAGACTATAAGAGATTGCCATTCCACGTATACAAACTACATCATCATACCTTATGTTAATGTTGAGAAAATGATGATCGAAAATTATCAAAAGTTCAACCTTCAGGTAAAAATAAGAGTACCTTTCAACCCTTAAGCACACAATTTTTTTTCTTCCATCGTGTGCAGAATTTCAAGAGCTACAACATAGACAGATTCAATAATTTTCCCGGGCCTTTAATCTTAGTTATGATTGAAAAGGGCCTAATTTTGGCCGTTTTTTGCACTTTTTTTTACTTATTTGCACCTTAAGAATAAAAAGTGAAGATATTCTATATAAAACGGATTGTCATGATCATTGTGGTCATCCATGCCAAATTTCAACTTTTTCTGACACCCGAGAGTCGTTGAATACGAACTTGAATATGGAACCCAAGTGTACTATTTCTGTTGAATAAAATCACGTTAAGTGCTCCAAAATCACTTCTTGAGCGAAAATATGTTGTATACATACACTCTGTGCAAACTTTTTGTCATCAAGCCAAAATATATCTTTTTCATTTCGAAAGTTGAATTCAACAGACAATTCTGACCAATGCCAAAGTGTGAGCTTGCAAACACTTACTGGAATTACCCGTAAAGCTGAGTTTGGCCTTTGTAATCGCGACCTAAGATTCATTGCGACCAGAAGTGCTGTAATTAATGCCAGCCAAGGATTTCAGTACTGTTTTCTTACAAAGTTGAAGATACGAAGTTTCCATATTCAAGTTCGTATTCAACGACTCTGGAGTGTCGGAAAAAGTTGAAATTTGGCATGGATGACCACAATGATCATGACAATCCGTTTTATATAGAATATCTTCACTTTTTATTCTTAAGGTGCAAATAAGTAAAAAAAAGTGCAAAAAACGGCCAAAATTAGGCCCTTTTCAACCATAACTAAGATTAAAGGCCCGGGAAAATTATTGAATCTGTCTATGTTGTAGCTCTTGAAATTCTGCACACGATGGAAGAAAAAAAAATTGTGTGCTTAAGGGTTGGAAGGTACTCTTATTTTTACCTGAAGGTTGAATTTTTGATAATTTTCGATCATCATTTTCTCAACATTAACATAAGGTATGATGATGTAGTTTGTATACGTGGAATGGCAATCTCTTATAGTCTAATAACCACTTTTTAGTTTAGTTACATCTATTGTGGCTAGCCAAATATATACCGACTTGTAAGCACTACTTTTCATTTTTTCCTTTTTTCGACACCGATCGGCGGCGGAAAAAATGTTCGGAACGCTGTGCTCTTGGGAAAAAAATTGTTGCTTGGTCCTCAAATTCTTTTCTGAGATTGAATCAAATATGCAAATGCAAATTTTCATTTAAAAAAACCCCATTTCCAATCACAATCCTCTAAAAATTCCCCACCGACCGGCCGGTTACCGCTTCCCATGGATCCGTTGAAGAGTGAGAATGTGGTACTCCCGCATTCTCTCGGCCCGACATTTATCAACCCGACGCAATCTCCATCCCGCAAGCGACCTGAAGAGAGGCCGCCGAGGCCCGTGATCGAGCCGAGAAAGTCACGTGGCTCCCTCCTGCGCCCCAAATGTCGTGCTTGCGCGTGGGCCGCAAGCACTTAACGCTGCAGAAAATGTCAGGCCCCCTTTTCGTAACTCCGATGATGAAAGTCGGCCACTTAGTGATGAAAGTCGGCCACTTAGGCTGATTGATCCGTGGGCGATGAACTTTCTCGAAGCCCGATCAGGCCCCTATATAAACCCTCCCGCATTCTTCACTGGATCGATCCTCCGAGGTTTTCCGACCTGGAGTCAGCCTTCTAAGGCTTTTGGGGGTGTTCAGTTGTTTAGACGTCTATTTCCGTGTACGCGCATTTTATTCTTGTATAAATAAATATTATACTTATTATCCCTGCGGGTTGATTCTTTGTATAGTTGTTTGTTTATACTCGAATATATCTTCGGTACTTTACTAGGTACCAAGATCCACCAGGTTTTGACTTATCAAATTACTGAAGATTATCGCGGGAGCTTTGCGAGGAACGTCCATCGTTCTGATTTTGGTCAGTTTTTTCCTTTGCAACTATGGAATTCTTCAAGCGGACTGGGGTTATTTCAACAATGACATCGCATTCGGCCCATTAGGAGGCCCCATCTGCTATCGCAACAATACGGAGGATGTGCAGAAATGCAAAGATGCGTTTCAAGTAAGTTCCACATGTCTTCTTGGCGTGCAAACCCTATCCAAAAAAATGGAAATTCTACCGCCGCGGACCTGATCCAGTGGCAAAAAATGTACCATTTTGCATCCGGAAAGTATCAAAATTGTAGCAAAATACCTCCATCTCGAAGTGGAAAACTCCGGTCTTTTTGTGAGTGGAAGGGCGCGCTCTTCAAAACGGGGTTTTTTCGTTAGAGAAGGAGGTATTTTGCTTATTTTTGAGAGTTCCCGGATGCAAAATGGCACGTTTTTTTGCCATTGGATCAGGTCCGCCATGGCAGGAGTCTCACTCAATATTTAAAGAAAATTTTGTTTAAATTTTTGCCAGGTTTCTTCGAAATTGCCATAAATAATACTTTCAGGGCCGCTTCGATGCTGATGTTGGACATGCGATTCTGACGATTTTGGCACTTGGCCCGGCCCTTGGTTTGATCGCGTTATGCGGTTTGATTCATAATGTCTTTTCCGAAATGTGGGAAACGGCGGCTTCTGGTACACTTCTCCTAATTGGAACATCATTATGTGTGTTGGGTCTTATAATGGCCAACCGACAAGTTGACTACATGCGTAAGAATTTTTTATTTTTCAGTGCAAAACATTTTTGGCTATGATATTAATTTTCAATTCTTACTGTTTTCAGTCCACTTGAACATTACGGACTTTATTAACAAACCTTCATACAACGAGGTCTCGGGCGCGTATATTTATATATACGGCTGTTCTCTTTTGACGTCAAGTTTTATTTCTGTCGTGGGCTTATTTGTTGTAACCGTTTCATAAGTAATTGGCTGTATCATGATGATATTGAACAGTTTTTTAGATCGATTTAGCTTGGAACCCCCGTTTTTGACAATGTCGACGGGAATGTGATTCTATTTACATCGACAATAAATATTCGTTTTATACGCTCGGATTTTGATGGCGCTTGTCGCGAATAAATAGCAGAACTTTTCCATGCTGTTCAAAGATCGTTCTCGACGAGAAAATAAGAGTGGTCAAAGAGGAAAACGTTTTCTGCCTCTACCAGGGGAAACTTTGCCCTCAAATCACAAATTGTTGTTGCAAATGACAACGTATACGACCCTTTTTCAGCAGGTGAGTGCACGGAAGACGGAGGGTGGTCATAGAGGATGAGATGCGCAAACGCTTGATGTGAGATTTTTTTATTGACTTTTTAATAGCGTTGTTTATCGGTTCGTATTCACAAAACATTGACCTATTCCAATCCAACTGCTTGTTTGTATAGAATAATCAATGCGTTTAATTCCGGGGTCGAATTCAACATACTCATCTTGTACGGGCTGTTATTGCAGACCGTAACGGATGGAAAATTGATTTCGTCGTCGCTCAACTGAAAAAAATTATTTTTTTTTGTACTCTAATATTGCATTGGTAAACGCTCATGTATTGCGGTCTTACCTCAACCTGAATAGTAGTGTCGTAATCCAAATACGACTGAACAGTCGTAACCAGCAGATACGCAAACGCAATCCATGTGGCGGTCACCAGAATTGCCCAAATCAAAATTGTAATCCATGATCGGGCTTGTGCCAGATGGGGAATACCGTGACAGGAACAGAGGCGACCCCATTCGGCTATAGTGTCTTTCAAACGTCTAAAAAGTAAATTTTACAGGGGTTCCAAGTTCATTCTTTTATATTCAAAATTTTTTTCAACCATGACACAGTGGCGGATCTGATACAGTGGCAAAGAACGTACCATTTTGCATCCGGGAAGTATCAAAAAATACAGCAAAATTCCTCCCTCTCCAACTATCAGGGGAAGTACCACAAGTGCGACGCTCAGATTTTGATGAAACTTGGTACAAATTTAGAATAATTTTTTTCTAAGGTATATGCGAGAATCCTAGCTCGCGCTTTGCAGAAACAACCGAGATTTTTCGATCGAAAATTGGCGAAAATCTTGGAATTTTTGCCGAATCTCGCCACGAAAAGTTCCATGCCTATTACTACCGTAAAGGATAATGTTTCTACAAAAAATCAAAATTTTCCAATCTCCCAAAGTTATGGCCAAAAGGCGTTTTTCCGCTCTCCACGTTTAGCACGCTCTCTCGGCGGCAAAAATCGTTCGATATCTCGGCGGCGCCTGCAAAGCGCGAGCTAAAACTTTCCGGAATTGATGTTTAGTCCATACCCGACATGTGTGAAAAATTTAAAGAAAATCTGAGCGTCCCACTTGGAGTACTTTCCCTGTAAAAAAACTCCGTTTTGAAAAGCGCGTCCAATATTATCGAGAGGACGCGATTTTGAAATTGGATTTTTTTACTTGGAGAGGGAGGTATTTTGCTAAATTTTTTTGGTACTTCCCGGATGCAAATGGTACGTTTTTTGCCACTGGATCAGGTCTGCCACTGTAAATATAATACTTTGCCCTGCGCTGTGCAGTTCCAAAAAATAGGTTGAAATCTTGCACGGTGCGAAAAATACCTTTGATTATTCGTATTTTATATTACTTTTCATATATCACGCAAACTTTTATGACATCAAAAACCACCCTTACCTCACTCTCGTCTTATTTCGCAGCTCTTCTTCCCTCTTTTTGGCCCTTTCCACATCAGCCAACGCGGCCAAAACATCGCGGTCTCTCAGCAGAAAATCGACCGGTAAAGTTTTCGTCTCAACTTTCCGTCGACGCACGCCATTAGCAGCTGCTGCCGGAGGCGCTGGCGGCTTCGCTGACATTTTTTGAAACAAAAATTTTCGGGGTTTTGCCCGAAAATGGCAAAAAAACGGACGAAAATTTGAAAATCCCGTTTCTAAGCGACCATTTTGAAACTTTTTTGTCGGTAATTGGTAATTCAAAAGTTTTGTAGAGACATTTTGAACGGTAATAGTCAAGTTTTAAGTGAATAATTTTTTTATTTGTGTAAAATTTTAAAACTTTTTTTTGAAACTTTTGGAAAAAAGCGAAAAATTAGAAAATCATATAGATATGCGAACAAAATCTAGCTAGTAATCGAAAATATGAAGCGTCTAGAAGCTGAAAATAGTAAAATTATAGAGAAAATCGAAGAAATTTTATAATAAATACGAAAAAATAACAAAAAATAGAGAAATTGTCTGTTTTGGAGATCAGCAAAGGTGCAAGATCCTTTAAAAATATGCAACAACAGATTTTGTTTACAGCGAAGGTACTCCAAGTGCGACGCTCTGATTTTCTTTAAATTTTGCACACACGTCGGGTATGGACTAAATATCAATTCCTGAAAGTTTTAGCTCGCGCTTTGCGGGCGCCGCCGAGATATCGAACGATTTTTGCCGCCGAGAGATCAGGCTAAACGTGGAGAGCGGTCAGGGAGAGAAAAGCGTTTTTTGGCCAAAACTTTGGCAGTTTCGTGCGGAAAAATTTGATTTTTTGTAGAAACATTATCCTTTGCGGTTGAAATAGGCATGAAACTTTTCGTGCCGAAATTCGGCAAAAAGTCCTAAATTTTCGCCGACTTTCGGCCTAAAAATCTCGGTTGTTTCTGCAAAGCGCGAGCTAGGATTCTCGCATATATCTTAGAAAAAAATACGCTAAATTTGTGCCAAGTGTCATCAAAATCTGAGCGTCGCACTTGGAGTAATTCCCCTGTTAGTTTTGCGAAACTTCCCCAAAAATCTCCAAAACTAGGACAAAAAAAGAATCCTAAAACTCTTCTGAAAGACCTCAAAAAGTAGCACATTGTAATAAGTGAGATTGCCAAGTAATTTCCGACCCTAGGGAGAGTGATAGCAATGTACATTCACAGGTATGATTGTCTGATGGGGGCACCTCATCCCTCGAGGTCGTATTGATACTGCGCCAAATGACCCGTCATCATCATGCCCAGCGTGGTGATGAGCACGATTAGGATAAAGAAGATCAGGAATATCCTGTCCAGAATGGTGGCCAGAAACTCCCATTCCAGAGAGCATTGACGTTTCCGCTTCATGCTCATGACGTCGGCTTGGATCATGGCCGAGGTCCGACGCGCGGTCGCGTCTTTGTCGGCGAGGCCTGGAATTAAATTTTTTAAGGTCTTTTTTTCATATGCCTGATGAAACTTAGCACATGTGTGGTGCATAGGCCATATATGAGTTTACAAAAGTTTTGGCTCACGCCTTGCAGAGACAGCAGAGATATTCAACAGTCTTTGCGGACAAGAGAGTACTCGAAATGCGGAGAGCGGTCAGAGAGAACCCTATTGTTCCCTATATCGTTGAGTTTAGCGTGGAAAAAGCAACTTTCTTGTGTAAAAGATAAGCATAAATTTTTGATTTTTTTGCGATTTTTTCACACTGTCCATTACAAGTAATCCCGGTAATATTTCCACAAAAAAAAATGATAAAAAAATGTCTCTCTGACTACCCTCTTCGTTTTTTGCGCCTACAAATGTCGTTGAATTTCTCGGCTGTGCTTGCAAAGCGCGAGATAAACTTCTCATGGATTTATATGTGACCTATGCAGGGGTTTCAAATATCAGCCTGTCGGGAAAATAGTGAGCACTCTGTCGCTACACCGCACGTCAAACTGAGGAGTCCGGTGACCGGAATAGACTCTTCGCTATCGGTTTTTTACACTTCGGCTTGATTTTGCAGAGAAAGAGAGAAAAGAGACACGCAAAAACGTACTCTCTCGCCCCAAAAAATCCCCATTTCTTCCCCGACAAAACGTTTTTTCGCATCTTTTTTTGGCAAATTACCAATCCACCGGACTGTTTTAGCTTATCTCAGTTTGACGTGCACCGATCACGTCGCTGAAGTGAAAAGCAATTTGATTTTGTCGCGGCACAATTCATTTTCTCAGCGACGATTTTCGATGCGACATTGTGCTCATTATTTTCCCGACAGAATGATATTCAAGCTTATTTTGAACACTTTTCTTCTAATTTCTTACCAATCAATCGCCCCGTAGCGACACTAACACTGGCCACCGTCTGATCCCACATTGACGCCCTCCTCGAATTGGTCGCGCTGCTCGACACCGATCCCGGCGTGCTGATGTCAATCATCGGCACCACGATCTTATCATCCAATGTGGCCTTGTGTTTTTGAATGGCACTCCCAACGCGAAGCCAATTTTTCCTCGACCTCGTTGAAGCGGGCGTTGGGATCGCCAATAGTTTTGGAGATCCCGGAGAATCGAGTTGTTTCTCTTGCCTACTGTGGTAACTCTAAAAAACGATAGCATTAAAATCATCGTATTTTAGCAATAAAGATTTCAGTATTTTCACTTGCATTTAGAGGCGGTCGATCCGGGAGTAGTGCGCCTGGCACTGAGATGATTTTTTTCCGCTTGTTGTACGTGTAGTAAGGGTGGTCCTGGAAAGCGAAATAATACGACGAGAAAGGATTTAAAAAATCTAGATTGTTGTCAGCAAACTCTGAGTCATTGTCAGCAGACTTTGGTGATCTACAGGGTGGGCCACTCGAAACGGGTAAGTTTTTTCTTTGGATTTCTCCGCGGAGACTCCGCCGATTTTTCTCAACTTTAGATCGCCGATTTTCAAGATTTAGATCTTTCTGGAGCTGACCTGCCATTTTCAACGGATTAAATTTTTAAAAACTGTATTTTGAATTGACCTTTCTCTGCCTTCCAAAGTTTTGAAGAATTATTTTCGAGCCGAAACCGCTGAAACTTAGAAAATTTCTCCCGAATCGGGTACCCGTGTTGGTTACCCTAGGTGCCGATTTGAATGATCGACTTTTCAGATAAGAGGGAAACGAGAAGGATCAAGTAAAGAAACAGTGCTTTTTGACTTTTCTTCAGCCTGGTCTGAAACCCCAAATAAGCGAGGCATATGAAAAATACTTAACGTTAAATTTTTCGAAAAAAGAATTTACTGAGGTTGCTACACAAAATTCTGAGACTTTTTGCATCAGCGCTTGGTTGAAATTTTCGTTTTGACTGGAGCTGTGGGCGTTTGAAAGTGAAATTTTTAAATCCTAGTCCGTTCGTAAAGCCGCTGTAGTGATTTTTGGCCTTTGCACTGTGCAAGAAATGTCAGAGTGCTAGATACAGCCCAAAAAAGCGTACAGTGACAGACCCGTAACAAACGACGTACCATTTTGCATCCGGGAAGTATCAAAAAAATGTAGCAAAATGCCTCCCTCTCTCGCTAAAAAACTGCGATTTCAAAAGCGCTCCCGCTCTTTTTTTGAGGGAAAGGGCGCGCGCGCTTTTCAAACCGGAATTTTTTTAAGTTGAAGATGGAGGCATTTTGGGGGCTAAGGTAGTACAGCCTCCCCAGTCCAGTTTAGCCCCCCATGACCCAGTACAAACCCCCTCGTCCATTCTAAACCCCAAAATTTATTTCAAAGAATTAATCCAAGTTGTATGGACCAGCACAAGCCCCCTACGTTTCAGATCAAGCCCCCTACTTTTTGGATAAAGCTCCCTACGTTTTAGGTCAAGTCCCCTACGTTTTAGATCAAACCCCCAACGTAGTAGATCAAACCCCTGTTCATTATGTGGGGTGTGAAACGGGAAAAACAGTGGGGGTTTGAACTACCTTTCGTGGGGGGCTCAACTACCGAAGCCCCGCATTTTGCTACATTTTTGACATTTCCCGGATGCAAAATGATACGTTTTTTGCTACTGGATCAGGTCCGTCACTGTATTGCACAGTGCAAAAAGCAAGACATTGCACGGTGCAAAATGAACTTTGTTTTTTTCACATTGCAAGTCGCCGAAATCACAGCGATTTTTACGAACGGACTAGTATGACTTTCAAATAAAAAAGCATTTTTTTTTGACTTACATGCAACTCTTCCCATAAAACCGCCAGCGGTGGCGGGACCCCAACGCAGAACCAGGCAGTGAATTTGCAGAAGAACCAATATCTAACGTAGATCGGAGGCACTTTTCCGTACTGTCGACGCCCTTGAATACTCAAAATGACGCTGGTTAGGAAGGTGCCAATCGAGATGATGATGATGATCGAGAGGTAGAACCATGCTGAAAAAAATTATTTATTGCTAAACGAAGATCGCTTACCAATTAAAGGTATAAAATCGGATGTTGTTGGCATCTGATCCGAGATCATCAACATCAAAATGGACATGGCAAGAAGCTGAAACAGAAGTTTCTTATTTCACAAAATATAAATCTAGGACCTACAGTAGTAATACCGAGGTTGATCTTCTCCGTCCGATCGTCGGCCGTGCTGGCCGGGGTGAAGAAGCCCGTAATTGAGACAAGTGTAATGATAGAGGTGGGGATGATCAAATTCACGACGTAATACAGAGGTTTGCGGCGGATGACAATCGATGCTTCCAGAATCACCCAAGGCTCCGGACAACAGGCGTATTTGTACTGAAAAAGGTCAAAATCGCATATGCAGAACAATGAGACCTCAGTACGCAAAATCACAAGAAAAAAGTCACTTTTTATTGAAGGGTTTCGCTAATCGGAGACTGATTTTGCCATGAAATTGACCATTAGGACTTATAAAATTGCTCGTTAGTAGCCCCTTCGGTATAACAAAAACCCTCTATGGCGAACGATTTTAAAGGTCCTAAAGGTCAATTTCATGCCAAAGTAAAAGCTCATATAGCAAAACCCTTCTCTAAAAAAATTATTTTTCTCCTTGCGATTTGGTGTACTCATATTTCACTGCGTACATTATAGTTCCGTATGCAAACTCGCTGGAGTGATTTTTGGAGACAAGCACTGTGCAAAAAAAGTCAGGGGCAGTGACGGTCCAAAAACTCCTATTGCACGGTGCCAAAAGCAAGAAATTGCAGAGTGCAAAGTAAACGTTTGTTTTCGCACAGTGAATATCGCAAAAACCACTCCAGCGAGTTTGCAAATGGAACTAGAATGTACCTAGTGAAATCTGAGTACACCAAATCGCAATGAGAAAGAATCATTTTTTTATAAAAGGGTTTAGCTAGATGAAGTTTCACTTCGGCATGAAATTGACCCTTGGGACCTTTAAAATCGTTCGTCATAGAGGGGTTTTGTTATACTGAACTTTGCTCTAGACAGATTCCATTGTTCATAATAGAGAGATGGCTACATCTACAACGGTGTACTGAGACTTGTTGTATAGGGGCTCCAGTGTATCACAGAATTTAAAAAAAAGGAAAAGGGACAGTAGAACCTATGTATGGCGAAAACTTTTTTAACGAATAATTTCAACGGTCCTATTATATCAGTCTGTCGGGAAAATAATGAGCACTCTGTTGCACCGACAATTGCATCGCCGTCGAGAAAATGAATTGCATCACGGCAAAATCAAATTGCTTTTCACTTCAGCGACACGATCGGCGCAGCGACATTTCGCTCATTATTTTCCCGACAGACTATTATTACTCAATTTTTGGGCAAAATAAACCTCCGTACAACAAAAACTTTCTTCAACGAACAATATTTTCGCTCCTTTTTTCGATTCGTTTTTCAGAGGTTTAACTGCACGACCATCAAACTCACTTACCTCATGTCGAAACACCTTGAACGATATGACCTTCCATTCCTCATTCGGAATAAACGAGGCCATGTTTACTTCTGGGTCAGCATAATAATCTAATGCCGATTTACTGTTGGTCCACGAGCTGATAGTTAGCGTGCAATTCTGCTGATCGTACGGAAAGTATCGGATATTCAGACGACAAGTGACTGTGTAGATGGCTGGATACAAAAAGGATATATGAGATCCTCGACGACCCTCCCAAAAAAGTGTGTCCGCTCGTATGTTCATGTAGCGCTCCGTCTCGTCGGCGGCCATCACAACACTGTTGTAGAGCTGAAAAAAATTAAAAAAAATGTACGTCAGAGGCGTGTCGTGGGCGGCAGAAATGCCTTCCCAAACTCACATAAGTGTCCGGAATCCAGATCACATTATGCGGCAGGATCGTGGTGTTGATCATACTGTAATCTCTCGGATCCCAATCCAGCATCTCATCTTCCCATTTCTGAATCATCCACATGTTCATTTGAATGAATTGCGAAGGCTCGTTCACATCAATTAGCTGATACAAACTCATGCTGATGTAGATTTTCAGGGGTCTTGAGTGATTCTGAACCGGTCGAACCCGGATGTCATATCTACCGGGACCAAGGATATCGCGGGTCAACCGAACTTGAGGGACTTGATCATGTTTTAGACCGTCTCGAGGGTCCGCAGAGCTGGCTGGAAGGTTGAAAAAATTATTGAAAATTTTAACTAAAGATTGCTTTCGAAAAATATTTTGCAGGGGAAGTACTCCAAGTGCGACGCTCAGATTTTCTTTAAATTTTGCACACACGTCGGGTATGGACTAAATATCAATTCCTGAAAGTTTTAGCTCGCGCTTTGCCGGCGCCGCCGAGTTATCGAACGATTTTTGCCGCCGAGAGAGCACGCTAAACGTGGAGAGCGGTCAGAGAGAAAAACGCTTTTTGGCCATAACTTTGGCAGTTCCGTGCGAAAAAAATTGATTTTTTGTAGAAACATTATACTTTACGGCAGAAATAGGCATGAAACTTTTCGTGTCGAAATTCGGCAAAAAGTCCTAAATTTTCGCCGACTTTCGATCTAAAAATCTCGGTTGTTTCTGCAAAGCGCGAGCTAGGATTCTCGCATATATCTTTGAAAAAAAATACTCTAAATTTGTGCCAATTTTCATCAAAATCTGAGCGTCGCACTTGGATTAATTCCCCTGTAAATATTGCTTCAAAAAACATTGTGGATTTACGCAAAGTTTTGCCAAAAGTCTGAAAATCATCATGACAGAAAATCTTACCATAACCCGTTACATCATCCACCGCCAAACACGCAACCACGACGAGAACGCGAATCGCGTTTAACACAACCCAAATCATCCTTCAACCTTCATCTGCAACTCAAATTAAGTGAAAAGAAAACAGTAAAACGCCTCAAATATCGCTGGTATCAAGCCAGTACAGTAAATCGAAATGCATTTAATTTAATTTTTCTTTAATAGAAAGACCGAATATAACGAAACTACAAACCAGTAGGAGGGACGGAGAGAAATGAGAGCCCTAGGAAATGAGAGACCATCTGGACGGACTAGGACCAAATACGAGCACAGTAAACACATTAGTTTTGAGAGAAAAGTGAACAGTGGAAAAAGTGAAATTGGATTAGATCCGGCTCTTGAGGAAATTTTATTTTGGAGGAAAGGTTGGAAAGTAATTCGATTACTCTCTAATTTTAGGGGGCAAAAGTTGATACTTGGAAGCAAAATTGGTGAGATAAACAGGGAGTTTGAAGCCTCTACTTGTAAATTATTTAAAAAAGTGGGTTTGGAAGTTCAAAAAATTTCTTGGGTCCCAACACGAAAACTTTGATTTTTTGAAAAGTCAGTTTTAGCGGCTAAAAAAGATGCCGAAAGCAAAAGGTGGCTGGAAGTGGACTGTAAGAGGCATTTTAGAGAGTGTGGTAAGAGGGGATCATATCAAATTTATGTATTGTAATCAAAATTTGGCAAAAAAATACTCTCCTCATTTTGCGTGCTCCCTCGTTAAAAAAAGTAAAAATTCGTGTCTACGCTGCAGCGCGCTGTAGCACAAATTGCGGGATATACTTTTTTTAGGAGCAATATACCTTCTACATGGATTATGTGTGGCTAATTTGAGTACAATCGAAGAGTCGCGCCAAGGTTGCCCTGTAAATTTTTTTGCTAAAAAATCAAAAAATCTCCAAAATTTCCGTCCTAATTTCCTTCAAGATCATTGGATCAGATTACAAATATTTATAATTATGCAGCAATCGGATTGGGCAGCAGGTTTTGCCGCTCTTTGACAATACTGTCCACATCACTCCAATGCCAATAGCCGATCAAGTTGATGCCCACGCTGATGATCAGAAACAGGACCACGAAAATCCCGAAGAAACATCGCTCCATCACCGTGGCCAACCATTCGTACTCCTTCTGGGCCAGTTGACGGCTGAGACGGACGTTTTCTGAAGAAGAATTGTAAAATACGACAGAAAGGGAAGCTACAGCAAAAAAATTTCTTTTTGTTTTTTTGAGAGCAGTATTTTCAAATGCATAAACAAAGTTACTGCATATGCATAAGACGGGAAAATACCCCGAGAATAATCGCCGGAATAAACATGTATTTGCAAAAGCAAATTGAGGACCATTGGTAAATATTGACAATGTTGGACTGAATTTGAAGGATGGCTTCCGCTGTTTGGGACATCTTATTTATAAAGGGTCTTGGAAGGACAAGGTTTTGTTTGAGATAAGATATTAGTCTGTCGGGAAAATAATGAGCATACTGTCGCTGCGCCAAACGCGTTGCGAGTGAAAAGAAATTTGATTTTTCCGCGACACAATTCATTTTCTCGGCGGCGATGCGACTTCGGATGCGACAGAGTGCCCATTATTTTCCCGACAGACTGATAAAGGCGGATCAAACCGAAAAAATATAAATTTCCGTAGAAAAATATTGGATTTAGAGGGGTCACCTCTTGTCATACTTGTTATAAAATCTCTCTAAAAGAGCGGCTAAAGTGGTCGAATAGCAACAGAAAGAAAGTAAGGGTGGACCAAAAATATCCTTGAATTTTGAAAACAATCTTAAATTTCGTGTGATATTCTCTTACTCAACATTTTAAAAACCCCTCTTGGAGAGGTTTCATGGCATTTTCCATCATCAAGTCACCTTTCCTTCCTCAAAACAACTCTTCCCTGAAAATCAGGGTTGTCGTTCCAAGACCAAAAAAAAAAGTTTCAAATTCGCCCCTAACCCAATTGTCACTTCGCTAATTCTCAATTATCTTCAATTTCCTCCCTACTTTTTCCCAAATTTGGTCGCATCCACCCGCCATCTGGCCCAATTTTCCGTCCGATTGCCCCATCCGTTCAGAGTTGCGAAACAAAATTTTCCAGCGGCTTTCGGAAGTAATACCAAATGTTTCGGGAGCAGCGCTTGCTTCGAATTCTACATGAATGAAAGAATGAGGGCAGTTGTCACGATTTGACAGCAAATTTGTGCCAAATGAAGTGACCGTGTTGTTTTTGAGATTTGATTTCAGAATAGACGCACTTTGGAATTCCGATCTCTCGAGTTTCAAATGTTGAGAGAGCAAAAAAACATTCTACACGCCTAGTCAACGTCTTTTTAGGCTATTTGAAGTCCCTTCGGCAATAAAAATGATTCTCACCACGAAAACTTTAAAGCGCCAAAAAACTTTGGCATTCTGCAACAACCGATTTTTTTGGCGGCTTTGAAGAGAATCAATGTTTGGCAACCGCGTTTGGGCTGAACTCACCGTTGAACACCCCGATATGTTGTAGCATTCGATCCTTGGCCATCCGATTTGACCTGGCCGTGTTTGGCTTGGATTCGGCCATATCCGAGTCGCCTTGGCTACCCGAATCGTCGAATAGAATACTCAGGTTTGAGTCATTAACTGGTGGGGAGATCGGGTTCGAGTTACCGTTTTCTGGTTCTGAAAAATATTCGGTTTAGATTTAGTTTCTGAGCGATTTTTTCCGAGACCTCTTTTTTGGCATTGACAAGGTAGGAAATCACCTGTAGCTTGCTGGACAGAGAAGAAATGGGCTTGAAATTAGACAAGCCAGTATATAAGTTCCTTATGAGTGATATATTCCAAAAATGAGGGCTTAGTTTACGAAAAATCGGGGTTTTTCAGATAAATATTGTTTTAGGCATGAATAATATCTGAAAACTGTTCGTATCCTTTTGGGCGCAAGAGGAATGGACTTGAATTTTAAAATGACAGGATGCTGACTAAATTTCAGCCGCACTTTTCTAGTATGGAATAAGATACGAAGGAAAAATGTTAATTTTTGATGAAGACTTTGTTTTGCTCATGGATAACCTTTGAAAATCCAAAAATGGGGCTTGTAACTGCCTTGATAATGGGTAAAAGACTTTGAATTTTGTAAAACAGGGCAAATAGGGTATGGTTTGTCGACTGATGTGCTGAATATCATTTCAAGGCACGTTTTTTAGACGAAAATATTGTTTTAGGGAGGTGTAATATCACAAATTCCCAAAAAGTATTTTGATTTTGCAAATGTACTTATATAATTGTAAAATACGTGAGAAGTTGTCTAGTTTATATTAGCTGCGGGCTCTGCAACAAAGACTGCTACACACTTACGAAAAGCGGCATTTACAAGCGGGTCCGTACTTTTGTCGGTTGATATGCCATTTGGAGCGCCTTTCCGGCGGAGGAAGAAGTTGGCGACCGAGCTCTTTTTCCTCAAATCCTCCTCCGCACCGACCTTGTCCAACTTTTTCTGCATTTTCACGGATTTCTTGTAGGCTTCCGTGGATGGAGGGGCTTCCGCGTACTCCTAAAACAAAATATTGCAGATTTACAGCGAGGATTCGGGAATTTTCACCAGATAGCTTTCTGAATTTATGGTAAACTTACTTTAGTTCCTTTTCTCAAATGTAGTGGAACATCCGAGATGGAGATGTACCCAAAGAAGCGCGTGATTTTCACGGCTCGGCAGCTCAAACGCTCGCCCATTCGGCCCTTCTTTTGTACGGCAATGACGACAGAAGAGGCCAGTGTCCCCGATGATATGACAATTATCATTCCCAAGATAAACCAACCTTGAATTTGATGAATCAGACGATTTTTGGGGACATTTTGATGTTGTTATAGATTTTAAAACACGATTCCTGAGTCACTGTGTCAGCCGTGGACATTCAAAAAATTCGATTTTGAGATTTTTGTTTTAAAATTACCGGGGGCATCCTACTACCATATTACCGCAACATTTTTGCCCAATTCTCCCGTTAACCTACTGTAATTTACAATAGTATGATTTCACAGTAATCGGGTATTACTCAAAAAGTACGCATCGTAATAGCCAAAATTCGACATCCGTTGTAATGCCAAGATGCCAAAACCTTTATAGTTCCGATTTCAGCCAGTTACGATGCGTAGTTTTTGAGTAATACCCGATTAGTGTAAAATCATACTATTGTAAATTACAGTAGGTTAACGGAAGAATCGGGCAAAAATGTTACGGTAATATGCTAGTAGGATGCCCCCGGTCATTTTAAAACAAAAATCTCAAAATCGAATTTTTTGAATGTCCACGCCTAACAGGCGGCTGGTTCAGTGACTCAGAAATTGAGTTTTAATTGACAAAGACTCATCAAAATTAAAGTACCGCTTAAAACTTGTTCGGTTTTTGGTCAAAAGCTTGTAAAATACGTTCAATGCACTGATGATGTTTGGATATTCTTGCAAAATTTCGCAGAATTCATTAAAACCGCGAACGCCAATAAAAATTGCACTCTGCGTTAACAACTTGTCGCAATTTCTCATTAACAACGAAGTTGGAAAAAAAGCCGTAAAAAGTGGGCCCTTACCGATTAATGGGATGAATGTTGAAGTGGTCGGCATTTGGTCGGACACCATCAGCATCAAAATTGACATGGAGAGGAGCTGCAAAAAATTGTTTGGTGACATGTTTGCGGAATGAACTTTTAACTTTTTTGTTGTTTACCACTTTTTGAGGCAAAGATTTTTTTCTTTTTTGCTTTTTGATGGAATAAAATTGGGGAAATTGCCAGATGAATCCAAAAATTAACAAGGGAAGGCTTCCAAGTGCGATGCACAGATTTTTTAACCCGTAAAATTAACCCAAAACTTACTGTAGTAATACCCAATGACACTTTTTCCTCGCGCATGCCGCTGGCTGATGAAGTTCTGAAAAATTTAAAAAAAGTGAAAAATGTTATTGATATGGGATTTCTAAGAAATTATAGTCAAATTCCCTGAACTTACGTGAAGAACCCAACAATAGCGATAAGAGTTATAATGGCGGTTGGTATGATTAGATTGACCAAGTAGAAAAGTGGCTTTCTCCGTAAAAACAGCGTCAGCCGAAGTAGTGTGTAGTTGTTGGGGCAGCAACTGTACTTAACTTCGTCTCGTTTTACTGAAACATTTGAAAGTTGCATAAACATGAGATTTGTGGCATTAATTTTACAAAAAAAAAAACTCTTCAATTTTTGATATCTTTTAGCCTAAAAATCCCGGTGGTTTCTATAAAATGCACGCCGAAAATATCGCATGTTTCATAGAAAAATCTGAGCTAAAGTTGTTCTAATTTCCATCAAAATCTACAGTGAAGGATCCGATCCAGCCGCAAAAAACCTACCATTTTGCATTCGGGACGCATCAAAAATGTGGTAAAATGCTTCCCTCTCCAAGTGAAAAAAACTTCGTTTTGCAGGGCGCGCCATTTCCCTCACAAAAAGAGCGGGCGCGCTTTTGAAATCGGAGTTTTTTCACTTGGAGAGTTTTGCCACATTTTTGATACTTCCCGGATGCAAAATGTTACGTTTTTTGCCACTGGATCAGGTCCGCCACTGTAGCTATCGTTTTTCAAGCTATTTCCTTCTAACTCTTACTCGAAGTTTTGAAGAGATACCATCCTTCATTTTCGATAAAATTGGAGGTTCCGATCTCCTCGGAATACGCCCTATAATCGATTCCTTTTTGATCGTATGTCCAGCTGCTGAACGTCATCGTGCAGACCTGCAAATCGAACGGAAAATATCTCAAGTTCAGCAAACAGCTGAACTTGTAGATGGTGGGGTAGAGCAGTTCGATTAGCGCCGCTCTCCGCGTGCTGTTCGTTGTGAGTTTTGCGTTGAGCAAGCGTCTCGTATCGTCGTCCTTCATCACCAAGGAGTTGTATAAAGTGGTATCGGGAAGCCATATGCAGTGATGAGGCAGTCGGACTTCGGTAATATTACCGTAATCCATCGGATTCCAGTAGAGGAATTCGTCGTTCCAACGCTAAAAAAATAGTTTATTTTGAGGAAGAATATGAGTAGAGTTTATCAAAATAGTGAGCACAATGTCGCTAACTTTGCCGCGACAATGTGCTCATTATTTTCCCGACAGACTGATGGATAGGGTTGTAACGCACCTCAATGATCCAAGCGTTGAGTAGAATGTATTGTTGTGGCTCATTCTGAAAGTGATTTGTTTACTATAACATCTCCTGTGGTTTATTAGGGTAATTTTGGAAGTGTCACTCGCTTATTACGTCTTTGGTTGAAACACTCTCACTGCACTGTACTATGTAAAAAATACCCTTGAAATTCGTTGGCATATGCTATATATATTTTATGTACTCTTATTCTTTTTCAATTCCGGTCTGCTGACAAGAACCGTCAAAAAATGAGATCAAGAAGACCTGTAATTTGATATCAAAAAGTTTGACATAGGCAAAACGATTGTTTCCTTTGAGGAGAAAAGATCGCTTTAATACATTTTGAGGTACAGTATAGCTACAGTAAGCCAAAAATTAAAAATTAGGCCTGCCCATTTTAATACACGAGTAACTAACTAACTATTGTAGGTACATCACGTCTTTACTGTAACATCTTGTTTTTTTGTGCACAACTTTACGACTTTTTCACGAAACCTGTTTTAAAAGGAACTTCCTTACAATAAAACCCATAGTTGTTTTTGTATTTTCACATATTTTTTGTATTCCCTTGCAAATTGTTGTACATACAAGCGTTCTACTGTACTCAATGCATTGTGAAAACAAGAGTCAACTTTTTTTTTGTTTTTGCCCACATTATTTCCCATTGTCCTCACTCCAATTTTTGTTGCCTCCTCCAAGTTTTATATGGCTTCGCAGAAAACAATTAAGAAAAAGAAACGAAAATAGTCCATTAGGCTATCGTTCTTTGTTTGAAAATATCATTAAGCACGTTTTTCTTGGACTATTCCACTTCTCGTAAGTAACTATCATGTACATGGCGTATATCTTGGTTCAGAGGTCAGCTGGTTCGGGTCAAAGGGCAGCAACCTTTTTGCATCCTAAGGCAATTTAAATTCCGGTCAAGACAAAAAAAATTCCCTCACTTTTGGGCTCCATATACCTCCCCAAAGTATCGTAAAAAGGGGAAAGGGCATAGAAAGGCGAAAAAAGTGTAGAAACTCGAAAAAATTTTAGCGAATATTCTGGATTGAACACCAAAAATTTCCTCAAATTTCCCTGTAAATTTTGTCGGCGAAAAATTTTGTCAAAATTTTAACCCCTAAATGTTGTTTCCTTTATATTTTTTCTGTTTTTCATGTTCTTCCATGTTTCCTTAGAAACTTCCGGGGCCAAATTGGTCTAGACCCTAAAATATAGATCAAATCTTGGGGAACCGAAAGCAAGGCGCTTTTTGTCGCTCCGAAAGTGTTGAGGAAACAGATTTTAGGCGGTTTTTTTCACGGAGATTTCCGGTTTTTACCTTTTTCGATACTATAATTGTCTGGCCATGAAAAAAATTTCGTCACCCAAGAAAAATACTTACGTAAGAAAGTATTGGTGAGATTTTTCATCTATGATTGTGAGAAAAAAATTCCAAACGATTTTTAGGACCGCACAGTGCGATTCAAAAAAAAAAACTAAAATTTTTTTTGCACTGTAAAATTCAAAAAATAGGCTAAAAATGGCTATGGACAGTGCGATCGGAAAAATAGGCCAAAAAATAACTATGCACAGTGCAATCCAAAAATAGGCTAAAAATTTCGTTGCACAGTGCAATCCAAAAAATAGGCTAAAAATTTCATTGCACAGTGCAATCCAAAAAATAGGCTAAAAATTTCATTGCACGGTGCAATCCAAAAAATAGGCTAAAAATTTCATTGCACAGTGCAATCCAAAAAATAGGCTAAAAATTTCATTGCACAGTGCAATCCAAAAAATAGGCTAAAAATTTCATTGCACGGTGCGGTCCAGAAAAAGAGGCCAAAAATGACTATGCACAGTGCGGTCGAAAAAAGACAATGAGCTCAAAATTTCTTTGCACAGTGCGGTTCAAAGATTGGCCTAAAATTGGTCATGCACGGTGCAATCGAAAACATAGGCTAAAAAATTTCTTGCACAGTGCAGTCAGGAAAATAGGCCAAAAATGACTATGCACAGTGCAATTCAAAAAAATAGGCAAAATTTTCCTTGCACGGTGCAATCCAAAAAATAGGGTCAAAACCGCATTGCACGATGATAAATCCAAAAACCCAAATTTAACTTTTCAAAAACTCTTACCAATTCCAACAATTGATATAGATCCATGCTGAATGTGACGTTGATTGGCCGAAACGCATCCCATGTTGGCTTAGCTTTATTGTCATAGCTATCCAGTAAATCTTGGATGAGTTTCAGTTGATCGGAGCTGGCATCCACTCGATTTAGGGCTAAATATTCATTGTAGGAGAGGTAGTCGTGAGCCGAGACCAGTTTGAATGGCCAGTAGATGTAGATGAATATTAGAAAACATGGTTTCAAAGACATTTTTAGACTTTTTGGCAAGATTTTGAGTGATATAATGGACAAAAACTATGTAGAATCTAATCGTATACCAAGTAGTATACGAAAAAGACGAGATGTTTTGTACAATTAGCCCATTGGAATAAGAATTTAGCTGATTTTAGAGACCTTAATAACTGGTACTATTTTTTTACAGTACTCTCAACCAAATTTTGAGGAAAAAAGTGTGATAAAACAGACCTTTTTACATAGTGTAATAAGCTGTAAAATAATTTTTTGGCCAATTTTTTCCTGGAAATAAAACTACTGTTTCGTTTTCGGCCGTTCTCCCGATTTTACGACCAGTAATAAAAGTAGTGTAAGAGAAATTGCAACAATTTATAAGGAATATGTTTCAGACCGGATTACAACGAATCTAGACCGATAGGAGCAATTTTTTCGTTGTTTGCACATGTAAACAAGTCGAAAGCGAACAAACTTAATTTGCAGAAACCCTTTTAGAATGTGTGGTGGTTTGAGGTGGATAGGCTAAAAAATTGAGGTAATTGAGTTAGCGAGCGTTTGCTTTATACATACAGACCACGGAAAGGGCAAATATAATCAATAATTTTTGCAAAAAATCATAAACGGCTAATGAAATAAATTTGTTCGTTATAGAAAGGTTTAGTCAAAAAATACGGTCATATTCAACAAATATGACCGTAAAAAAGTGGTTTCATTCCATTTGGCAAATCAAAAATTAACAGTGCAGCTGGATTAAAATGTCACGCGCAACGTTTTTGACCTTTTCCTGCACTTTTTTAGGAGCGCGGAAAGTTTTGGAAATAAATTTTTGATGAGGGAAGGAAGTTTATTGACGGCTCCCAAAACAAGTTTTGTGCAGGTCAAGAGGGCTCTATTTATATCCTCCTGACGCCACAGGCATTGTGAATACATATCAGACTGCCGGGGAAATAATGAGCGCAGTGTGGCTGGCCTATCACGTCGCTGACGTGAAAAGCAATTTGATTTTGTCGCGATACAATTCATTTTCTCGACGGCAATGCGATTTTCGATGCGACAGAGTGCTCATTATTTTCCCGACAGACTGAGATTTTCTATAATAGATTGCCAAACAGCATATCAGATATGTATAATATGTAATCCAATATAGACATACCTATGTGCAATAAATTTCAAGAAACCAAAAAAAAATTCACTATAGAAGGTCTTCGTGGTACAGAGGTTCATTTTGTCCTAAAATTCGCCCTTAGGACGTCTAAAATTGTTCGCTATAGACAGGCTACAGGCTTCATTCTATTTAAGTTGGCTATAAAGAAGTTCTATTGTGAGTTTGTCGGGAAAATAATGAGCACTCTATCGCATCAAAAATCGCATCGCCGCCGAGAAAATGAAGTGTGTCGTGGCAAAATCAATTGCTTTTCACTTCAGCGACACGATTGGCGCAGCGGCTTTGCACTCATTATTTTCCCGACAGACTGATAACTTGAATTTTTTCCAACAAACTTCGCAAAATTCGAATAAAAAATGCCCCCGCAATAACCGCAAACGCATGTCAAACAGAACAACAACCCGTCCGAAACATTATTAAACACTGTTCATAACATTTTTCGCCAAGTGTCTTATGGCCCAAGAAGTCTAAAGTTTCGGGGCTCGTCTTGAAAAAAAGTGATGAGTCCATGGAACGCGTCTCTTCCCTCTCAGACCACGCCTCCGGCAGTTGAGACGTTGTTTTTTGCGGTAATGCCGGCCAAAATAGATTTGTTATAGCAGCAGTGGTTGTTGTTTGAGCGATCATTTTGCAAAAATGGGAGTAAATGGTCCTTCCGGGATATTTTTTTTCGCTTTTCATACCTGCTTTTCTTTTCGTCTTCGGTTTTTGGGGACCCATTCAGGAGCGGGGATGGAAGTGCAAATGATGAAAAGGTGCCGAGAGGGGGATAATGGGACGAAAATGAATGGAAAATTTTAGTGATTTATGAGGGAAAAAATTTGAATTCAATCATGTTGGAAAAATCGGTTTTAAAAATATTTCAAAAAATCTGCCGGAGGCACTAAAATTTGATTTTTTTTAAAATTTTACGAGACGTTCTAAGTAAGTCACTAGTCAATTTCCGACTAATTTAGCCAGCGATCCATCCCGCAGTTGAGAAATTCAACGACTTTTGAGGCGAGAGTCTAACACTCGGGCCATAAAGTCCGCAGCACGTCAATCCAGCGCATTCCCTGAACCAATTAGATGTTTCGTCCACGCACTATCGATTGACCAAAAGATTTTAGATATCAAAATTCTTTCAAACGAATTTTTGGAAAACAAAATTGGTCATAAAAAACCATGAAAATTTTTAAACGTTATTTTCCGACCAGAAAGCAAAGTTTTGTCCCGGCCAGCCACGAAAAAACAGCCAAAGATCTTCTCCAAGATTCTATTTGTAACGAAATGCCACACTGATTAAATCTTGGGCAGGAAATAGCTTCAACTGCGCTGGGTTGACGTGCGTAGAATTTTGCACAACTTTTCGCAGAAGGTTTCAAAACTATATTTGCTAGCTCGTCTTTATTTTTGAACTTCGCTCTAAGCGTAGTATCATTTCCCGGTCATCTTTTTCGGAACTCATTTCCTTAATTGAGCCTGCGGCTATTTTCGGTGCAATGGCTGGAAAGGGCGGATGGGCTTATAGGAAGCACTCTTACAACACTACGTATGAAATTTTAGGCCTTAGGTTTACTAGGCACATGTGCAAAGTTTTATCATTCTGTCGGGAAAATAGTGAGCACTCGCTAAATTCGACCAAAATTAGCAAAAGTTAGAATTTTTTCTATCAACCTGTCGGGAAAATAATGAGTGCAATGTCGCTGCGCCGATCGTGTCACAGATGAAAGTTAATTTCATTTTGCCACGACACAGTTAATTTTCTCGGCGGCGATGCGATTTTCAATGCGACAGAGTGCTCATTATTTTCCCGACAGATCTTTTTCATGCAGTTAAAACCCCATAGTTTCAGTAAAAGACAAAAAAGAGTCGCTAGACATTGAAGTCTGAGACTTTTAAGAGACAAAAAGAAGATGTAAAGAACGAAAACTAATAAGAAAAAATATCTTCTCACCTTGCAAAAGCCCAGCCAACAGTAGATGGGCCATCCATTCCAGTCTGCGCAGGTTCATTTTCGGTTCGCTTTATTTGAAGTTGGCGACACTTGAGGACATTCTCCAACGACTATTTCAAGGCATTTCCTTCTGTCAAAAGTAATGTTATTTCGCTCGGAAAACTGGGGTCGTTAAAACGAACATTAATTACTGCATGTGCACATTAGGCGATATGCTATAACGGGGGCGGGGAGAACGGGGAAGAATAGTTATTCGATATGGCAACATGAGAGGGCACGGGTACTCGCGAGTGGTCGGTTTGAGGGTGAAATTTACAGGGAAAGTGGTCGAAGTGCAAAGCTCAAATTTTGGTCAAAAAACACAAAAGTCGGGAGCCAATGTTATATCTAAAAGTTGGACAAAAATACTCGGGCGTAGCTCGAAAAAATAAGCATAGAAAAATTGGCATGTTTTAACCCTGGATTTGTTATCGTTATGAGGCGACCTGCGCCCGAGCTGCGTCTCGTTTGCCAAGCAATATTTTAAGTAAACTTTTCGATGGAAATTTGTCCCGGTCCGCGTCAAGTTGTTGAAAATTTTAGTTCGGTCTTTGCAGAGGCAGACGAGACATTCAACTATCTTTCTATGCGACGCAACACGCAAACTGTGGAGATCGGCAATGAGAAAAACATTTTTTAGTCATCTCTCTGCCAAGGCCGCGAGAAAACGATTTTTTATAAGTTTCAAACCCATTTCCAGCCATTTTTTCTCTATTGAGCTGAAACAGGCTTGAAAGTTTGCATGCTAAAATTCGCGCAAAAGTGACGAATTTACAGCACTTTTTTTGCCATAAAATCCAATAACTTGACTTCGGCAAAGACGACGTTTCCACCAAAATTAAAATTTTTTATGAGGGATTGGGACAGCTAGGATAAAAACCCCTCTTCTTTCCGACCACTCTCGTCATTTGGCATAATCTTTGGCCTAAAATGTTCTTTGAAAACATGAACGTTTCAGCTGAAGCGCCTGCAAGGCGAGTTCAATAAAAACTACAGAGAGAACACCATTTTCAATTTTGCAACACTATCGAGAAATTAAATTTGGTCGCAAAAATAAACCCATATACGTAGAACCCTCTCTTCAAGACGCCTTGTCGAAAAAATAACAAAACACATCCAGGGATGGTCAAGGACCAAAATTGCCGAGCGCTAACCGAGAACCGTAATTTATGGAGCCGAATTACTCATTCTGCGGAGGGGTAATTAAGATAATATTTATTGAATAACCGAGTGAATGTTGGGCATTTTTTTAACAGGGGAATTGACCCAAATGCGACACTCAGATTTTTATGAAACTTGACACAGACTTAAAATAAGTTTTAGTAAGATATATGGGAGATTTCTAACTCGCGCTTCGCAGAAAATAATCGAGATTTTTAGGTCAAAATTTGGCTAAAACGGAAATTTTTTTTGGCGAATTTTTTCGTGAAAAAAAATCGTATATCTTTCTACCATAGAGTGTAACGTTTCCACAAAAAATCATTTTTTTCCACTCAAAATTGGAAGAGTTATAGCCAAAACGAGCGCTTCTCTCTGCCGCTCTCCTCATTTTGCGTACTCTCTCGCCCGCAAAGATCAATATCTCGGCCGTCTCTGCAAAGCGTGAGCTAAAACTTTCAGCGATTGGTGTGTGACCTACTATGAATAAAATGTGTGCAAAATATGAAGAAAATCTGAGCGTCGCACTTGGAGTACTTCCCTTGAAAGTTGAAGAGTAAATGCAAATGAGAAATGGAAATAAGGAAGCAAATTAGAGATTTTGTTGTTTGCTTTTTAAGCAAGCATTAGCATTGGAGGTCAAAAATGGGTCCCAAAAGATTTTGGAAGTTGAGAAATTTGAGGCTATAACGATGTAAAACAGCCTGTATTTTTTTCTACTCCGTAAAGAATAAATCTTTAAGCGATCTTTGAAGAATCAAAGGAAAAAAAGTTGATTAGAAATGCATTAGACAAAATACGATGGCTTGCACTTTAAGAGCCGCGCAATGCAGTTCAAATGAGATTTAAGTCGTGGGAAGTTTTACTGTGTAGTTTTTTAATCTCACTAAACGCTTGTGTCCCATGGCTAAAATACAAATTTACTTACTACTTGCTGCAAAAAGTCATGAGAAGTTATTGCGGCCCTGAATTCAGCAGCACTATGCATATTCTCGGGACTTTTTTGACCCGAGTAGTACCCGCCGTCATAGTGATAAGAGCAAGTTGGCTCTAAAACTGAGCCATTTTTGACAAGTTTGTAAGTGGTAACAAAAGTTTAGGATATTCGGAATTAAGAAAAATCGCCGTAACGTCCGAGTGTTGAAGCCGACTGCGATGAAACTTTGCATAGCTTATTCTTAAAGGCTGAGTAACACTTGCGTTAAATTCCATGACGTTTGTAAAAAAATCCCCGAGACATGATTAAAAAATTGAGTGGAATCGAAAACCTGGGACGCACTGTATGTATATACGATGGAAAATAAGGAGAGGCAGTAAGAGGAAAAGATTCTCCCGACCAATTCTTGTGTTGTTTATGAGCAAAAAATTCGGTTATTTGAGAAAGGAAGTAGTCATCGTATTGGCTTAGTACTTTTTCATAGAAAAAAATGCCAGAAAGCTCATTTGATGGGGTGTAATTTTGGCCCGGAATAATACTCAAAGGGCAACGTGGGATCCTACAAAAGAATATGTGAATCATGTCTAACATGTTGACCAAATTTTAGGAAAATCAAAGCATCGAACGAAAATTTTCCTTGCAAAAACTCCTCCTCCAAAGCGGCAAGTCCAACAATACTTTTGTCGAACTTCACCTCCCTTTTTCGGCGCCTCACTCTCCCCGCAACTCTTCGCTTATTGGCCGAAAACAATTCGCGAATTTGGCCGCCGGTACGCACTGACCTCCGGCGATTTAATTTTCCGCGTCGATTAGTCAAACAAAACGGTTCGGCGGCCAAATTGAAGCCGCGAGGAGACGCCGCAATTGTTCAGCGCACCGGAAGACAGCCTCCCCATACCTGCGCCGCTCTCCAGCTGCGACGTTCGGGCGTGGGGAGAAAGGGCACGGAAACGAGATTGGCGGAGTTCGAAAACGTCGGGATGGTACCGGGACAAAGTCCGAAACACTTTTGTTTTTTTTTCACTGTGCGAAAAAGTTGTAATTTTCGAGAGGGAAGTTGAAGAGATGACAAAGGGAGAGCTTTGAATTTCTGAATAAAAAGTTGTTTTTTTTGCATGAGAAGCGCTCTGAGGGCGATGCTCAAATTTTGATGAAAAACTGCACAAATTTAGATTAATATAGGATATTTATGAGATTTCCTGGCAAAAGAAATCGAGATTTTTTGGGCAAAAATATGGTCCAACTAGCCCGTTCGGAAAGTTGTTGGAGTAATTCGCGTTTGCACTGTGCATAAAAAGTAAGGGGGCAAGCGGCCCAAAGAAGCCTATTTCACGATGCAAAAAGCAAGAAATTGCACAGTGCAATGGAAGATTTTGTTTTCGCACAGTGCATGTCGCGGAAATCACTCCGGCGACTTTGCGAACGAAGTTGAGGAAAAAGTGATAATATAATATATCGGGGAAAACAATGGGATTACTCAAATGGAAGGAGGTTGGTTTTGAGATGACAAAAAGTTCCAAAGACCGGAAAATATTTGAGTTTTGACGTTACACTTGGCACGTATGAGTATATATGTCTTTTTGAACTCAAGGTGCGGTTTTCGAGGGGGTGTATTTTGACTCAAATTTTTTTGCATCAGATGGCTTTTTTCTATTTTCCGGATTTCACTTTATGATCCCTGAGATCATGTTTTTGTACGATGAATTGTGATATGGATATCAGTTTGTCGGTAAAGTAATGTGGATTCGTCGCGCCTTGGAATCGCCCATAATCGCTGTGCGACGGCTAGCCGTGGCTGGAGATTTGGTGACTGCGGAGGCGAGGATTTTTGCTCCAAAAAATCCACATTATTTTCCCGATAGGCTGATATAGAGTGCAATCCAACCTTGAGAAAATTATAGCAATAAAGTTTAATCAACAATCTTTTTTATTTTTTCACATTTTTTGCTCTAAAAAACCCCTTAAACTTTCTGAACAGGCCTTTGTTCTCAACCGGAACACCCAACTACGGTAATACTTCCTCGAACTCAAAAGTGAAACGTTCGAATTCAGCAAATCCCCTGCAACTTTCTAAAATCACTCAAACATTCATGAAACCCGAAAAGTGACAGTTTCAATTCGCCAAATTTGAATCCGCTCTTTATTGCTTCAAGCTCAAAAATTCATTGGTTTCCGACAAATGTCCGGAAATTGGAAGGCAAGGATTTTTGTTCTTTGCTTGGTAAATATTTATCAATAGCCTTGTTTGGAACGAAGAAAGCGAAATCCAACCGAATAATTTATTTTTCTTTTGTTAAAGATCCAAAGAAGATATTTCTCGCTTGAAAAATCATGCAAGGGATACTGTATTCTAAAAGTCCATGGTACATATATGTACTAGATACGATGCTCGTGATGCTCATCGTCAGTATTCCCTCGAAGTTTTTCAAACATTTGGAAATTTGAGCCTAATTGTAAGGCACACTTTACCTGCGAGGGGTTATATAAAATTAGGTGAGATGGTGATATCAGTCTGTCCGGAAAAACAATGGGCACTCCGTCGCATTGCAAATCGCATCGAATTTTTGTTGCGGCAAAATCACATTGCCTTTTACTTCTGCAAGGCGATAGCGACACTGGCCATTATTTTCCGGACAGGGTGATATCACCATCTGTCCTATTTTTTAAGATTTCTTACCGGAAAGGCTGCACCTTAGGCAGTTTGACAGAAAATTTCGACTTTGAGAATTTTGGCCGAATTATCATCGATTTGTAATTAAATTATGTTTTTCATGCTATAAATCTGCCGGGAAAATAACGGGGAATTTTACATCAAAAATATCTCGCCTCGTCGCAGTCGCGCACCAAATCTCAAGCCACGGCAAAACATCGCAAAGCGATGACGGGCGGTTCCAATGTACGACGAGTCCACATTATTTTCCCGA